GGGGCCGGGCGCAGCCTGCCTCTGCTGCCCACGCTCCGCTCCCTTCCCTGCTCCCCGAGCCTTCGGATGGGGCAGGCAGAGTCAAGGGGAGCCAAGCTGGACAGATTGTTCCCTTTGCTCCGCCACGCCGGGCTCTGCGAGCCTGGAAATGCCACCGCCTCCTCCTCCCCCTCTTCCTGCAGGCCAAGGTACTGTTTGCACTCCCTCCTCCTCCTCCTCGGCTGCTGCTCCATCTGTACTCAGCCGGGGGAACGCAGTGTCCTCCAGCCTCCGGCTCCCCTCCTGTTGCCAGGAGATGGGGGAAATGCACAGCCACCTCTGTCCCTACGCTGAGTACAGAGGCGACTTCCATGCTCCGTGACCTGGGATGCTCAAACTCCCCATAATAACCCTGGGCAGCCCCTTCCTGGGTGCCAGGCACTGCAGAAGGGCAATGCTGTGCCCATCTCTCCGGCTGGCAGATGGGCTGTGAAACAGCCTGAGCTGGGACCTCTCCAGGGACAGCCCGCTCTGCAGGAGAAAGCCTGGCACCCAGCAGGGACGAACCAGGACCAGAAGCATGGCAACCTGGGCTCTGCCATAGCCATGGACATCTCGCCGGTGCAAGGCGGTCTGCCTCTTCTCCAGTTACTTTACCCAGCAGTCGGTGTCCATCACCGTCCCCACTTCAGATGCTGGCAGAAGGCTGGAGGCGCATGGCCCTTCAACCCAGCTTCCCCTGGACCAGGTAGGGGCTGCTGCATCCCCTGTTTGGCCCATGACCTCAAACAACTTGAAGGGACCGTGATCTCTCTTGCATGACCAGGCAGAGCTGGAAACCAATGGTTCGCCCACTAGCTGAGCCCCCTCCCTGCTGGCCAAACACCCTGGAAAGAGGGGCTCCGGCCTGCGCACACACGTGCTGTCACAGGTTGATGGTGTAGCACCTGCTCCCCTGTGCCTGCTGGGGCCCATCAGCTACCTGGTGAGAAGTGATGTTCAGGGCGGGATTGGTCAGCTCCGTTTTATCCTGCGACTTCTCCCTCGCCAAACGGGCGGCTTCCTTCACCTCCTGGAACTTCTCTGCGAACTGGTGTGTGGAATTTGGAGCAAAAGGGAGAAAGTCACTGTACTGTCACACTTAAACAGGTAGAAAATAACGCCCCCCTCTCCTTTCTCTGCCCTCCTGGCACTCCAACAGCCCAGTGTTTTGCTCCCTCTGACAGCTATGCACCATCCCAGAGCCCTTTCCCCCAAGCTGACGCTGCTTTGGGATCTCTGGAGGCTTCAGGGGTGCTGCGTTCCCTTCCCCCAGCACCCCCAGGTGGGTTAACTTGCCGCCAGCATCCTGACATTCGTTACCTGGGAGAGATGCTGCTCTGAAGCGAAGCCCAGCCCATACACTGTGTTGGCCCGGCTGTCTGCCCATTGTCCGAACTTCTGGGAGGTCTTTGTGAAGGTCATGTTGGGGGTGATGGTGCTGTTGATGATGGCCTGCAAGTGGGGGGAAAGGATGCAGTCTAGTCTGTAGGATGGGATTGGCTTTCTGCCGTGTGGCAGTGTTGGCTGGCGCAGAGGGCTTGTTCCCGTTGTTAACTCGCCCACCCCTACGATCGCCCAAGCTTGCCACGAAGGGTTTTATCTATTGCGCTTCAGCTCTAGTTAGCAGTGACCAAAACCCATTCTGATGTGAGGGGCCCCATGACATACCCAGAGCCTGTGCTAGCATCTCGTACCCAGCGCTACCCTGCAACTAGATCCAATGGGCCCCCGTCACTGACCGAAAGGCCCAGGGCCAGTGGGGCTGCGGAGGCTGACCAGGCTGAGAGTGCCCGCAGAGGTCTCCCCAGCACGGGATGAGGGATCGCCAGTGGAAGCTTGCACCATGCAGGCTCTGGGCACAGAGGCCATCGATCTCCTGGCTGCTGCTTCCTGGCACTAAGATCCCAAGTACACATACACACTCTGGGTGGCAGCGTGGGTCGTATCACACCCCACTGCCCGCCAGCCAGGGATCTGAGCGCAGCAGGGATTGTGAAATGACTGCCGAGCCCTCGCTCTGGCCGCCCCTGCCTAGCGAACGGCCTGGTCCAGCTCCTCACCTTGGTGCCGCCCACGCTGATGATGCGGTAGACGTTGCGTGTGGCATCGTAGAAGTAGGAGACGGTCAGGGCGTGCTTGCTGGCCGGGATCCAGTTCCGTTTGGTGGCCGGGTCGATCTGGAACACGTGGGCCCTGGTGCTGAAAATGGGCTGCTCCCTGCAAGGGATGTCAGCAGAGCTGTCAGGGCAGGGGCTGCTGTGCGGCGTCTGCAGAGCGACATGGCACCTGCACCCCCTTCTGCTGAGCGGGTGGCATCTCTGCTACCTCCCCCTAGCCCGTAAAGTGCTGAGTGACTCGAGCCGTGTGGGAGGCAGGGGGGAATCTTTCCCTGATACAAGTGCCCGGATGCAGCGGGGCTGAGAGACTTTACCTGGCTTTGCTTTGAAACCTCCAGCTCTGGCCACTGCTGCAGCCATGTGCTGGGGGCGTGAAATCTCATTACAATGCAGCCTAGGCCCCCCGAGGCAGGAGGGACCCCTGGTCCAGCTGCAGCCTGGCAGGGTGTGCATCCCTGGGATCTGGAGACTTGTGTTTCTGCTCCAATTTAAGGCCACCTATGTTTCGGTTACTGAGGGCTGAGCCTGGCACCCTGAGGAGATCATCCCCGTGGCTCAAGAGGACTTTACTCCCTGCTGCAGCTTTTGCACCCAACGTGTAGATGACTTAGCCGGCTTGCACAGAGGCCTTCTCTGATAACCCTGGAGTCCCGGCCGGCTCCTTCCAAAGGCAGTTTGGCCGGTTTGCCCATTGCAGATTTATTTTCCTAACGAGACTCAAAGGTCGCTGGGCTCCACTCCTACATGGTGCACTTTGTACATGGCTGCCCAACGGGGCTAGGACACTACCTCCCCACTTGCATACACAACTTCCACCGACTGCTCTTGCACCTGAAGCCCCAAGTCCAGGGTGGGGTCAAAGACCAGAGAGGGAGGACATTACCTAGCTGTTGACATTGGTTAGCAATGGTTAGACAGACTGTTAGGCAGCGAAGGTAGCATGCGTCTCGCCTCCAGCAGCTTCCTTCTCAGGGCTCCTAGCGGGGCTGAGGCTCCCTTTCGGTTTGTCTTCCACAGGGATTCATTTCCTAGCAATGGAAAAATTAGCTGTTATTGATCACAGGAGGCACAGAGGGAGCATTCAGCCGGGTGGTGTTTAGAAGCCTCATCGGTCCCTCTCTCGTAGCCCATCACTTGCAGGTTCCTCCTCCTCGGACAAGATGCCCTGCTCACCCGCGGAGGGAGGGGGGAAGCTCTACAACTGGGGGCAACATGGGCATTAGGCCCAGACTGGTTTTATATAGGGAAGGACTCTGGCCACAGATCTTCTTCCCTGGTGACTCCAGTTCCACACGCCTGAGCACAGCAACGGGCGCAGAATGGATCCCCTGGGGCGCCTGTGCTCTCATGTGCTGCAATGCGGTGCCTGATCATTCCTAACAGGAGTAGCTCCCTCTTGCCCCCCTTAGCAGCTCTGTGTCCCCGGCCCATCAGTGCGAACTGGATTCCAAGTCTACTACACCAGTGAAAGTGGTCTGCTGTTTTGGATCAGCGCTGGCCCGGGCCCACCTGCTCCTTCCTCGGCCCCAGGTGCTGCGAATGCCGTCCTTGCACCCAGCTGCCTTCCAGCATTGCTGCTCCGGCACTGACACCCTAGGGTCTTCCCTGAAGCCTCCCGACTTCACGCTAAGGAGGAAGCCTCTGTCCCCCCAGGGGCAGTAAAGGTCACAAAGTCCTACAAACTGGAATTTCTTTACTATTCGTTCCGTCCAGGAAGAGCACACACTAACTGCAGATGCTTCCTCAGCCTGACGAAGGGTATTTGCACCTGAAAGCTTGCAAGGAAGAATTTTTCCAACTATTTGAGTTGATCTAATAAAAGATATCAGACTTACCTAAAAACCCTTGTCTGCCTATGTCCTTAGACCAACACGGCTACAGCCTACACCCCTACAAACAGGATGGGCATCAATGACGCCTGCTGTTCCTCATTCAGCTCAGTTTGACTGTGCATTTCCTTGCTACAGAGGGGGGTGATCTCGAAGCTCACGCTCTTGGCCCCAGCCCTATGCTCCAAGACCCTGCTGGGACCAAAGCTGCAGAGAGCTGCATGCCTGTCAGGACGAGAGATGCTTCAGCAATTCTGTTCCTCTGCAGGCCCCTTATGCAGCGATGGTGCTACAGAAAAGGAGGCATTTTCCCCTTCCCAGCAAAAGAGCAGCTAAAGGACTGGATTTTTTGAGGCCAGTGCCTGGCGCAGGAGACCAGCTCCCAGCTTTCACTTACTTGTGTGACAAGCTCAGAAGCCAGAGCGGAGAAGCACGAGCCTTGTCAAGGCTGGAGCAGAGGAACACAGCAGCGAGACAAAGGACAGAGAGAGAAAGGAGGCAGCATCTCCACAAAAGAAACTGAAAGGGAGAGGAGGCAAAAGAGGAATAGTAACTGAAAGCACGCTGCTGGGAGATACCAGCTTTGGGAGGCCTTGGTGATACAGCCCCAGACTCTGCAAACTCAGACTCCGGGGCTTGCAAGGGTGTAACCGGCGCAGGGCCTCGCCTCACCCTGTCTAGTCACTCATCAAGCTCTTTGGCCAGCAGATCATCAGCGCAGCACATGTGCCCCAGTCGAAGAGCAAGGTGGGGGTTGGAGGCCGGGACTGAGGGGTACAGCCAGGACTGGAAGAGAACAGGCGCCGCGTGTCAGAGCGGAGCACGGGACTGGCACAGCTTGCCCAGCACCTGTCTGCCGTCTGCTTGCCTCTGGCCAGAGCCAGTGGGCTCTCGCTTCCAGGAGCACTACTCGCTCCCGTGGCAAAATAGGCTCACACACGCCTGGGACTGGAGCTGTCAGGTTTTCTCCCTCTCTCTGCAGCCTCCTCCCTCTTCTCCAGTCTAAGTGTTTGAAGTGCACGCGTCCGGATGCTCCGCACATCGATAAATGCTGACAACTCCTTTCTGGCTCCCAGCCGCGGCTCCCTGTGACAAGACCAGCGCGGCAGTGGAAAGGGCACGTGTAAATAAACCCCACTCACACCCCCCATGGCTGATTCCCTGCTGATAATTAAGAAAAGGGAAGCAAATGAGTGAAAGGACAAAGATCTGGCTCAGACAGAGACATGATCAGCAAGTGTTTGATGGCAGCTGGAAAGGATCCAGCTCTCGTCTCTGCTTGCATTCGTTCCCAGCCCGAGGGGGAAGGGCAGAGCTCTGCTACTACATGCCCTGCTGCTGGTCCGAGATGACCTGCTGTCTGATGCCTGCGCTCTGCCACCGCGGTGCTAGGGAATCCAGCCAGCTGCCCCAGAGGGAGAGCAGCCCCGGTTCACAAGGGACACGGGTGATCCAGATCAGGGCGAAATCTTAACGGGCTCCTCCTCATCATGGCAGCAAGGCAGCTTCTCGCTGCTGCCTAGGGGCTGCCAGGCTCTTTGGGAGGGGAGGGGACTGGACAAGCGGATAGGGACCCAAACCTCGACCAAGTCAGTGGTTTGAATTATGGTCAAGCTGTCTAGCGGCCTCCTTTTGCTCCACTTAGTTCTTAAATGGCTTCTGTCACTGCCGTGTCTGCACCCATTTCCTGACAGACTGATGCTGCTGCCAGGGTGGCAATACGCTGGTTCCCTTCGCTGATGGGCTTGGCAGACGCCCCGAGAGCCGAGCGGGCCGGAGAGACCGAATGCCCTTCCAGCCAGGAACCCGGGTTGTAGCCGTATTGGTCTGGAGGAAAAGGTAATCAGGACTCGTAGTAGAGATGATATCTTTTATGAGACCAACAAGATTTTTGCAAAAAAAACCCACCAAAAACTTTAATTGCTTTAAATTTTCTAAAATAAAGATTTTTAGTTTTTTTGCAAAAATGTTGTTGGTCTCATAAAAGAGACCATCTCCACTATGAGTTCAGCACCTTTCATCCGACCACGGGCAGATAAGGAGATGCAGCCTGAAGAGGGTTAAAAAGCTGGTACCTTCTTCTCTATCCCAAGGTGGAGGCAGGAGTGAGAACCGGCTGCCTGGTCTGCCTTGAGTTCCCTCCACCGTTTCCTTTGACAGACTCCTCTGGAGGCTCATTTTAAGCACCCGCTGGTGTCTTTTAAAATAACCCGATGTTGTCCACACTCACAACACAACTGATGTGCCCCGATGCCGGGGAAAAGGAGAGGAACCATCTCCAAGTGTGGGCCCCTGTGCCTCCTTCGGGGACAAGCTGGACTGCTGAGCAGACAGATCGAATCCAACCCCAGCCAGAGCCCATGAGGTCTCAGCATCATTTGAAGCTCCCTTTCCGATCCTCCTGACCCAGGCATGCACCGAGGCATCTGCCAGGCATCCCTCCGAGCCAGCCCGGGGGACATCCATGAGAAAGCACTTGCACAGGCGTGCTCCCATGGGTCTATAGACACGTGCGCAACCATCGGGCTGTGCTGAAGCAATGCTTGCGCAGACCCCAAGAAGTGTCCTCAAAGCCACTGCAGAGCTCAGCTCCCGAGTCCTCTCCTGACTCTCAGCTCCTCGCTCACCTCCGCCCGGTGAAGGGGTCACCTGAGCCAGCACCTGCAGCCTGGCCAGCTGTGTCCCCAGCACACCTGCCTTCAAACCCTAGCTAAGGATCCCTCTCACTGGGGGATTTCACAGGGCACCTTCATTTGTGCTCACCCTGCAGACCTGCCTCATAAGTGGGGAACCTGTGGCTCAAAGAGGGACGGGTCCTGCTCACGGCCGCAGCAGTCGCGGGAGAGCTCAGCCTGGATGCTCCCCCCTGCTAGTCCACCCTGTCCTCAAGCAGGTGGTGCCGAATCCTGCAAAGAAAGGCTTCCCCGTCTTCAGGAAGGAACCAGGCCAGACAGAGGGATGTCGTTTCAAAGGCTTGCTCAGCCGCACGGCCCCCTCTCGTTGCCTTGCTTTGCAACCGGCTGGTTTCTCGGGTCCCTGTGCACGCAGCAGGCTGCCCTGCCCCGCGGGTCCCCGGGGTGAGAGTGCTTTTCCATTCACTCTGGTGCTCCCTGGGGATGCTCTTGCCGTGGGCAGCAGCGCTCCCGGGAGCTCGTGCCTGACATGGGCAAATGCTCTCTTCAACTTTTTCCACAGCTGCTGTTCGAACCACGAGGACAACTGCTAAAACGCAGCCTCCTGGCAGGACTCTGGAGGGTGGGGGAGGAAGCCACGGTCCTTATTGGTCTCTCCATCCCAACCAATGGGTCTCGGTGATGGGTGGGTTCGGAGAGGAGGGTGTGGGGAGCCGTTCCTGCTCCTCGTGTCTCTTAGCAGCTGCTTGTGGCTTGGGCTTTGTCCTTGCTATTTCCGCTCCTTCCATTTTTCTTCCCTCCCTTTCCCTGGCTGTTGCACGCTCCAGAGGGAGCGTTCCTCGTGGACGGTCTTTTGTTCTTTGCCATGGTTAAGCCCTGCCCTGTGATCTTGCAATGCCAGTTGGGGGCAAACTAATTCAGCTCATTGAAGTGCTCGGCGCATCCTGCTCCCCCTCCCTGCTTGCCTTCGCTCGAGAGAAGCGTTCTTTTGATCTTTGCCGTGGCGGAGATCTTTCCGCCTGTCCCTGCCACAACAGACGCAGATGCTTTGTGTCCTCTGTCGCACGTTCCCGAGTGTCGGGAAGAGACGGTGTCTGCCCAAGACACAGCTATTTGCTAGGGATTCCCGACAGGTAAATTTGCTCTGGCGGGTCCCAGGGTGAGTTTTCCATCCAGGACCGGTGGCTCTTGATAGCACAGGGCATTAAGAATGAGGCCCTTTACCATGAGCACAGCAGAGGGAGGCAGCTGGGGGGGCTCCGACCTGCTTCTGCTGTGCCGTGCCCTCATTCCAGGATGCATCACCTACATTCACCCTCCCTGGCCCTTCTCCTTGGCGGTGGCAGAGAGGCCAAGTGGCAATCGATCCCCAACGACAGATCAATCTGCCCCTCTTGCCCGGGGTGCACCAGGGTAGGGCTCAAGCCCATCAGTGCGGGGCTGGTGTACACGAGGAGCTTGTCCCAAGGGTACTGGCTTTGTCTGGATACACGGGTGGACTTTGCCGTCTCCCCTGCCAGGCAGGCAGTATTTGCAGGAGGCTGGTGCAATGCTTGTAAGTTCCCCAGACCACAGGCCCCCCAAAAACCCACGACACACGAATCTTGTTGAAAGCCGAAGAGAATCGGATCAGCAGAATCATCTGCCCAGAAGAAACCTGGGCAGCCCTGCCGTGGATTTCTCTAGGACTCCCAGCAGGAGAGAGCGGGAGCGCAGCGAGGAGCTGCTCTGCATCGCAGCCTGCAGCAGCTAGCTCTGGGCGGGGTGGCCTGGAAGACGTGCGAGCCCCGAAGGCAGAGGCAGCTGTCTGATAAACCCAGACCACTGGCCGCAGGGTGGTTCAACTCAGGTGTGCAAGACCAAAGCATTCCCAGGGGTGCAGGTGGCTTCCGGTCAGGCTCCAGGCCTTTCAGAGATGGAGGGGAGCCCCTGCAGAGACCTTGGTGGATGCCAGCCTGTGAAAGGCACGGTCCCGTTCTGCTCACAGGGGATTGTGCAGGTGACCTGGGAAACATCTGCTTTTTGGGGCCATTTCCATTTGTCACTCACTGACTCTTCTGTCTATATGCTCGCCTCCGCCAGCCTTGCCGCTGGCTCCTGGGCGGCGCTCAGCGCAGCAGCTCTGAGGGCTGCAGAAGGGGCTGGGAGAGACCGTGCGTGCGAGAGAGAGCTGGCTCCTTCCTGGACCTCAGCCCGCTGCTGCGCTGAGTCAGCAGGGATGCGGTGCTGGAAGTGCCAGGGACAGGGCTCTCCCTCCTGCCAGCGCACAGGACCAGGAGACGGTCCGCTGGGCAGGAGCATGGGTGCAAGACCGCGCCAGAGAGAGCATTCGACTGGGACGGGGTGAGATTCTGGCACAGATCTGATGGAAAGCCCAGAGTCTCCGCGGCCTAGGGAGCGTACGAACTAATCCTCCCCTCTCCTCCTTCCCTGGTGTACCCTTGGCTTGCCGGTGAGAGATTAACCTAGGAGAGCTTAGTACAAAAGCAGCTCCCCCCAGCCTGTTTGCTGCTAAAGGGCACCAGGGGAATTGCACTCCTGTCGGATTAGTCGTGGGGGTGGAATGCGAGTGCAAGCGTGCAAGTTCAGACCCAGGGAAAGGAGGACCTGGGCGTTAAAGGCCCAGCACCGTTATGAAGCATTGCTTTTCCTGGACACCTCTCGCCACCAGGCCTGGGTCCCAGGTGACGAGGATGGCTCTGCGGCTGGGTGCACAGCACGTGCCTGGAACAGTCCCCGTGCGGGGACGGACGTCTCCACTGGCTCCCCCGGTGCCACACACGGACTGGAGCCTTATCTGCACGGTGCTGGGAAGTCTTGAACACAGGGGAAGCAGAGTGCATTTAAGTAGTGCCTAGCCTAACCCAGAAAGCTAGAGTCTGCGCAGCGCTGCTGACAGCTCACCCTTGTCCCTCCAGTGCTCGGCTTCCAATGCCCCCCCGTAATAAGCATCTACGAGCAGCCCGCTGTGCTCTGTGCATGTTTCTGCCTGCGTGCAATCATTTTAACCACAGCATCCTCAGCCCTTCCAGACATGGATGCCTGCTCAGTTCAGTGGGCGCAGCTCCATTCTCCTCTGCTGCCATTTCGGTCCTGCCCCTGAACAGCGCAGCCAGGGCTCCTGAAGCATGACCAGAAGCCTCTCCTCTCCGATGCCCATCCTAGTCCTCCCTACAGCGGAGACTGCTGTGTCGTCTGCTAGGTGGAAGTGTGGACGAATGCTCGCTGCAGGCACAGCCGGGAGGTAAATGCATTTGCTTCCCTTGTGATCCAAGCAACGTTTGCAAGTGGACTCTTCCAAAGAAGAGGAGCCAGCACTTTAAAACCTACTGTGCAACAGGGATACATCAGAGTCCAGGAACAGGCTGTGCGGGAAAGCTACCCAGAGATACCAGAATGAGCATCAGGAGGACATACAATAGGCAAGATTTAAGAGTCACTGGTGAGGGGTAAGGACTGAATCCTTACTTCAAAATGAGCTCGCTTAAATCAACTGGTGGAAAATGATTCAAAAGGGGATGCTCTGTTAATGCCTTGGGAATCCAGAGAAATCTAATGCCTGCAGATGGCTGCTCAACATTTCCATGTGAACGATACACAAGCACAAAGGCATTTCAGTTCAGAAGGTCTATGCAACTAAAAACAGGGGATTTGGGATTGAAGCCCCCCCTCCACAGTAACAGCAGTGCTGCTGCTGCTGCTGCAACCCTGTAATTAGAGCGAGATCTAAGAAAATATCAGGATGACATCGAATCAACCTTTTCTGTGGGAACTGGCAGGCCTCTAAAGAAAACGCAGAGCTGCTGGGTGTAGTCGTGATGACTCCAAGAAGGATTCATCTAATACACCTGGAGAATAAGGCGCCAGGCCCAACCTATGCACCTGAAACACCCTTCCTGGCAATCCCCAGGCTGAAGTTTTGGATTCAAGGTAGGGATCATGGAGACATGGGGCAGTTTCAGATTTCGAGTGGGACCAGTGTAAGCCCCACAGGCTTCAGTGGATTTGCTCCAGATTCATACTGGTTTAACTGAGACCTGGTTCTGTGCCTCTGCCCCTTCTGCCACCCCCATCTATATTTCACTCTGTCCAGTAATTCTTCCTGGGTTGCCTAAAACAAAAATCAGAAACTCAGCAAAAGAAACACAAGCCACTGAACTTGCCCTCTAGTCTCACAGTGACAGCTTGGGGGGATCTGGGGAGGCAGGACTCCTCCCGGCCCAACGTGCTTCTGAGTGGCCCAGAAGAGTTCATTACAAAGCAACTTGCTCAGAGCAACGTCAGGGTCTTAAAATTACACGGCTGGGGTTTATTACCAGCACATTAATTAAACACCAGGCTACAATCTCTTTTTCATGCCCGTGCCTTCTAGCCACTTAAGCACAACATATTTCACCCCTGGAAGATTGTAGGGGGTCATAAACTTAAACTCACGCTGGAGATTTCCAATCAGACTCCTCACCCGCTCAGAAATGCCAGCAGTATCCCAACTACTGAGCACCAAGGTCACAAGGGAAAAACAAAACCTGTCCTTTTTAACTTGGGAGAAGGTCGCCTAGGGCTCTTCCTGATTCCCGCTCTGGACCCCAGGGCCCTGTCCCTGTATCCTGGTACCTGTCAAGAAGTTGCCGAGATTTGCAGTTGTCTACTTTGTGAACCCTTAAACTTTAGGGCTGCTTTGTACTCTTAAACTGGCATTTCTTTCTTGATGGCAACCTGAAGCCCTCATCCCCTCGGCTCGGATATACCTTAAAAAACATGTTGGGTTATTTAAACTGGTACGAAAACAAAAGATACACGAGTAATAATCAAAATGCCCGGCTCACCCCATCTCCGCCTGGGTGTCAGCTTCTTTCTTCTTGGGCTTCTCTTTGGCCGCCTTAGCTCCTCTCCACGTTTGATTTATTTTTCCCTTCCTCTTTCTTTCTCTCTTTCTCCGGATCCGGATGCTCTTTAAATTTCCTCCGGAATTTCACTTTGAAATCCGCTAGTTTTGTTGCTTGTTCAAAATGACCTATAATCCCAGAGGGCGTGGGGGAGGAGGCTGGGTGAGGTCCCGAACACCCTCCCGAGGAGGGGGTCTTCCCCACCGAGAGCGGCAGGCCAGGGGACCTTGGCCAAGAACTTTGGAGCACACTTTGCTGCTGAGATGTTGCAGCCTCCGGCAGGCAGTGTCCTCCTCTCTCCTGCTCGCAGGATCCCTTCCTCCCTTCAGCATGGGGAGGAGAGGAGAGCAGCAGCAGCAGCAGCAGCAGGATTATTCACTGCTTTTGCAATCCCTTTAAACAATGCTGCCCACTCCCTTCTACTCTAGGCGACTGATAAACCCTGCAAGTTTTTTCCACAGCCCAAAAAGTAAAGCTACCTCTCCAGTTGATCCCTCTTGATTGCGATTTCTTTGTTCTCTCTTTTTATCCGCTTCCTTCCTCTGCCAACTGCCCCATCTCGGTCACATTTCTCTTTTCTTTCTCCTCACTTTATTTCCAATGGGTTCCAACTGGCTCAGAGGCACCACCTGCCGGGCACAGCTCACATCTACACCCGCTGAAAAACCAAGCTGCTAAATAAGATCAGCCCAGCTCCAAGATATCCCAACACACCTCCTTTCCCGGGGCTTCGCCCTTATGTTGTAACCTCGTACATACTACGGGTCTAAGCTTTGACCAAAGGGGTCTGAGCAGCTACTGCGTGCTCCAATACAGCCTGCCCCTTCTACCCCAGGTATCTCAAACATGTTCGCTAATACTTTAGAAAAACAGCACGTCTCTTTTATTCCAGTCTAGGGAGTGGTTTCCCTCACCTCCCTGCGTGGGCCAAATTCTCCATTCCTTTGTATTCTGGGTGGACGTTTACACCTGTGCAAAGCGAGGCTGAGCTGCTATTACATTTGTAAGGGATTGGGGGAAGGGAAGTTTCTGGGAAGCAGAGAGAGAAAACACTTGAGGAGTGGGGTGGGAAATCAGCTGAACGTGACCTGCCAATGTGACACGACGTCAATCCTTGGATGTACAAACAGGGACATATGGACAGACTACATTTCCCCTGTATTTGGCACTGCAGCAACCACTTTCTGGAATGATGCATCCAGCTCTGGTGCCTACAGTTCAAGAAGACAAGGTTCCTTGGACCCTGTGTCCTGAGACCAACACGGCTACAACCTACACCCCTCAAACATGGAAGAGACACTTCAAAAAGGAAGTTTAAAAAAATTGCAGAGGGCTGAGGGAAGGATGCTTTAAAAAACTGGAAACTGTGCCTGCCCGGTAAAAGATTATAAGAATTCGAAGAATTCAATCTACTCCTAAAGTTGCAAGTCTTTAGACTTGATCACAGCCCATAAACCCGGACAGGCTTAGGTTAGAAATAAGGTGCAGCACTTTAGCAGCAAGAGTTATTAACCGACCGAACTGCTCATCTAGGGACGGGTGGAGACTTCATCCCTGGGAGATGTTGAATTAAGGTCAGGTGTCTTAGCAAAGGATGTGTTCTAGTTCAAAGAAGAATTAATTCCAAGAAGGCCTGTGTTACACAGCTGGCTTTTAAATCTGTGACCTGGGGTCTTTTGCACCTACTCTGCACAGGCATAAATAACAGAACTGAAAATGGAGACTGGAGAACTGGTCCCGTGGCAAAAATGTATAAAGGGAAGGTTGGGTGGACAGATAGATAGACATATTCGACTCTAGGGATAGAGATAGGCAGCCCAAAATAAGCACTAGAATCTAGAGATAGAAATAGATTAGATGGTATTAAAGAAAACATATGTTCCTGCACCTAATACGCACTTTAGGAGTACCAGCAAACATCTCGTGATTGTGCTCCAAGGCCCTAATTCACATTTGTTGTACAGCCACAACAGGCCAGCTCCTCCCCTGCTGTAAATCCATTGACTCCACCAGGCTAACGCTGGGGATGAATTTGGCCCCAAATAGTTTGATGCCTTTGTCCTCAGGTCGTGGATGCCACGCAACTTCCATGAGCTGCACCAGTGTGAAATGGGCAGCACTTTATACTCGCCTGTCACTAATAGAAGTGACTATGCCCGGCGCAGGATAACAGAATTGGGGCCTTTAGGTTTGTTTCCCAGACATCAATATAAGAGACCATATTGAATCAGATAATGGAACCAAATCATCCTCTTCAGTGGGCAAATATCTATGAAACTATACCCGCACTTTAAAGAAAATGGAGTTGCCACCACATTTGAAGCAGCGACTGCTGCCTGACCTTGGGGATCACTTTGGGGGCTGAAATTTCAACTGCACCTGCCCTGGCTCACCTGGGTGTTCAGTGCTACAGCTGTCCCCTCCTCCTCACCCTGCTGTCTTGCTACCAGGAGACCTCTCTACCTACCTAAAGAGTGCCTAGAGCACCTCCCTCTCAGGTGTTTACAAGCTAAATACAGGTAGAGTCTCAAGTTCTGCCTCTCTGCAAGGCATCACAGCGGCGTTGACTCTTCACACTGACCCTGCCGCACCTGCAGCCTAATGACTTGCAGGGAAGAGAAGGCAGGAAACAGGACTTGCCACTGCTCTTCTACTGGGCTTTCTGCATTATCTCCAGCAGGCTGCCAGTGGGGTTTCTGCATAAAGCAGCTGCTCTCTGGTACCATTTTCCTTCTGTTCCAACCCAGCCTCCAAACCTGCAGCATCACAACCACGCAGCTGCTTCCATCGGCTCAGAAGCAGCATCGTGGACAAAGCACAGCTATAGACTTGGGTCCTGCTGTGAACAGCCCTGTCTTATGTGTTATGGCCAAAGAAAAGAAAAAAAGATCACATTTTTCCTCTGACAGCAATGGCTGCATTAGAAGAGAAAAAGCCGTTCTGTCTGTATTCAGTTCTGGCACCTCCTTTTGCAACCCGGTCCAAGTGTAAGAGCACATGCACATGCTTAGCATTTGCTAAAGCAGGCAACAGTTGTGCAAGCTTCTCATATTCACACGTCTAGTGATGTCCTTAAACCTTGGCTCCTGGCAGGGAACTAGTCCCGATTTTCCCTCCAAACCCAGCACTGCCAATGCACTCGAGTCATGATCAAAAACAGTGCTGTTTTCTGGGCTTTCATAGTGCCTCAATCCTGACCTAACACTTCCCACTAAAACTAAAGCCAGGCCTCTCGTGAACAGACTGCCAATAGTGCTGAACTGTGTGGCGATTGGAGGAGTCCAATCCCATTTTTGCTTGTGATTTATTAGGTTGCCTACTTTAATAAGGAATTTCCCCAAGAGAGTTTTCGTTAATCTCTGCCAGGTCTGCACATTAATTTCTCCATGCCTTAATAGCTTCGAGACAATGCTGTTGCTTTCACCAAAATAGTAAGTTATGTCCGAGCAGTTTTACAAGGCAATGTGGGTGTAGCAGCCATTCTTCCAGCCCTATTCACACCGAAGCCTTTGAGCAGACGACAAGCACCGGGACTGCCTGAGCTAAGACCGTAAGCATTTTGGGGCAAGGGGCTGACTTTTTGTTGCACTTTGATGCTGACTAGCCAGATGAGGCCGATACCTGATCTAAATAATATGTACCAAAAAGAACAGCAACAATGCCTTCACTCCTCACCTTCCTCCCTTTGCCACAGTATCCCTCCCACCCATATTTCCCAGGATTTATAGGGGTTATCTGGAGAGTTGTCATCTTTCTGATGCTGGGGGGCCCGGTGCTGAGAGGCTGTGGGCTGCTGCCAGTGTTTTAAGTGGTGTCAGCTAGACCGATATGAACAAGGTCAGATTTTATGGTGCTTGGAACAGGCTGCAGCCTTCAGTGCTGATACTGGGGAAGCTGAACCGGGGTGGGGAAAGATGGGAAAGGTTTCTTAGCGCACATGAAGCCACAGCCAGAAAGGTCTTGACAACTGGGGACCAGTGAGGGCAGTCTGGGTGCTGCTCTCATCCGCTGGACTCCAGGACTGACTCCCCTCACAGCGCCAGGGCTGAGTTCAATGCCAGTACAGGACTGAATTGTGCCCTTTCTGCTTTTGCTCCATTTTCTCTGCCCTTCTTCTGCACAACATGGCCACCAATGACAAAAGGACTAAAATAAACTGCACTGAAGACACCACTGAAAGTAGGGCACAATATCTTTCATATCGACCTGCTAACAGTGGGTTATCTATGGCTCTTCTTAGAAGCTAATTATTTTACACATTT